TTTTTTTTTTGGGGGTTAATGGGAAAATTTTTTTTTTGTTTTTTTTTTTTTTTTTTTTTTTTTTTTTTTACTTATTTTAGTACATCAGGTTAAACTAAATTAAAAATGAGATACAGTGCCTTGGAATGAAATGTGAAATAAAAGAAGTTTTATATATTTTATTTAACTTAAAGTTAATTTTAAAGTTTATTATATATTTTTAAGTTACGTGGAATATTTAAATCATAAATTTAGGCCTAAATATTTGTATTGGGTATATGTGTTTGTCCAAGTCTCTATGCTTTTGTAGTGTCTAGATATTCAGTGTCTATCAGACATTTTGCTCATTTTATCATCTAGCAGGACGAAATTGCATGTTCAGTCACTTGGAAAGTAATTTCTTTGTTTAATAGCGATGCTTTATAACTGTAATAATAATGAAATGACTGCCATAGTAAATTTTCACAAGGATGGAAGATACGAGTGATGCCATAAATAGTGAAAGGAAAGCAGGTTTTAGTGTTCCAGGCGTTGGATCCGTGTGTTGTTTTGCTAGAAACAATAGTGTGTGAGTGCTGCCTATTCTCTCTCTATATTCACACACACGCCAATTAAAGACCCTGGCTTTCTGAGCACCGTTGCTATGGTTACGGCTCCATGGATACCGCTGCATAGTTACGGCTCGGCTGCATTTCATCGATATGTATTCACCCCCTCTCTCTCTCACGGAGCCCTAACCTCGTTCTCATGTTCAACACTCATGCGCGCGCCCACACACACCACAGCGCTCTTTAAATGTCCCGCTCGCCTCCTGAGCAAAGGTGAACCCACAGACTCCTACTGCAGCTCCCGAAATAGCCTCATCTGTCCCTCCCTGAGCTCATGGACAAGAGCGCAGCTGAGAAACGCCAGCCCGTCCGTATCGAGCCGCTCAAACATAGAGATGGGATCTTGCTTTTATGCTACAGTTGTAATATTAGGATGTGAATTCTGCTGATTTTAATGAGCCACCAAGGTAGCGTTGTCTAGCCAGCTGACGTACGTAGAAGAGGTTTTTGTCAAAATTATGGGAATGACTTGCATGCATTTGATAGAAGGAGTTCAAAAAGACAAACAGATCTGTATGTTTTGCATTGGATGGCTTCGTTGTCTACCAAAAAGTGTGTTTTTGATTGTATAGCTGGTATACTTCATTTTCAATTGGTCAATCATGAGTTTGAGCAGTAAAATATTTTTATATAATCTGTTAAACTTAAGTTTTTTCATATAAGTGCAATTTAATTCAACCTACCGTAGTAAAAAGTCATTTTGATCACATATGCATGACCATTCAGAAGTTTGGGGTTGGTAAGATTTAATGTTTTTGAAAGTAGTCTCTTCTGCTCACCAAGGCTGCATTTGATTAAAAATACAGTAAAACAGTAAAAATGTAATTTACAATTTAAAAACGCTGTTGAATATAATCTAAAATAGAATGTATTTCTGTGATGCGCAGCTGTATTTTCAGCATCATTACTCCAGTCTTCAGTGTCACATGATCTTCAGAAATCATTCTAATATACTGATTTGCTGCTCATTAAACATTTCTGATTATTATCAATGTTGACAACAGTTGTGCTGCTTCATATTATTTTTATTTATTCTTTTTTTTTTTTTGTGGAAACTGATACGTTTTATTTTTCAAGATTCTTTGATGAATAGAAAATTCAAAAGAACAGCATTTATTTGAAGCAGAAATCTTTTGTATTATTTTTGTATTACTTTTTTTAATGTTTTACTGCCACTTTTGATCAATTTAATGCATCCTTTATGAACTAAATATTAATTACAAACAAACTTTTGAAAAGTAGTGCTCATAATTTCCATATATTATTGTAATTTGCTTTTATTACACACGATACATCATACTTTATGTATGTATGCATTTTATAATGATATATTAAGCATTTTATAAACATTAACGTTTTATTCATAAAAGAATCCAGAAAAAAGTATCACAGTTTCCAAAAAAAATATGAAGCAGCACAACTAAATCAGCATATTACATGTGACACTGAAGACTGGAGTAATGATGCTGAAAATACAGCTTTGTTTTGCTTTTTGTAACAACATCTTGGTTCAATGAAAAATATTAGAAAAGGCTTCCACATATAAAACATTAAATGCTTCTTTTTTTTTTTTTTTTTTTGTAAAAAATTTGGCAGGGCAAGGAAAAATCTGCCTTACTGGCCTGAATAAACCGTGCTGTTCATCAGCCAGGAGTGTTAATGAACCGCTATTGCCCACACAACAATCTCATGCACTGTATTCATCACAATGTCACATAATGATCAATAATCAAGTCATTTTATCACGTCTGAGAGGGAGAGAAAACGAAGCGAGACTGGGACAGAGAGACCGATTCTAGAGGAAAGGAAAGAGCTGTATTGATGGAGGTGCAGGAATTGAGCTGTTTACAGTCAGTAAAGAAACAAACAGGGAACAAAAGACAGTAGACACATGCAGCATGTTCAGATCCGCTGCTCTCTGCTGCTGAGCTCACCTACTGTAAGAATACAAAGATGCAACGCTGAAAAACAGAGAGATGGACATTTGCATTCTGAGAGGATGAGAGTTACAGTGTGTTAGAGAGCTGGTGGTGTGTGTGTGTGTGTGTGTGTGTGTGTGTGTGTGTGTGAGTGTGTGTGAGCATACATATGATCAGATGATCAGTCTATACATGAGAATCGTTCTGTCCTCAACAGGCGCTGCTGTTTTCCCAGCATGCCGCTCTCTGAATCTAATCATTCTGCCCTTTCCTGATTACATGCTTCACCCTGCTGTCTGTTCCCTTCATCTGCTTCAACTCTCGGTTTCTGTCTTCTAGAGCTGGACGATAAATCGAGTATTGAATATATTTGACTATTACGTGTCCTGTATAATGTTTTGTCATTTTTATTCATTTTTAATTTGTGACATTGAGAATGTTGCAACAAAGATCTTTTACATTTACATTTAGTCATTTAGCAGGTGCTTTTATCCAAACGACTTACAAATGAGGATAATAGAAGCAATCAAAACCAACAAAAGAGCAAGTCTCGGTATACATACTAACACAGTATACATTTGTTTTTTTTATAACAAATAAAAAGAAAACCAGTAGATAGAATAGAAAAATTATAGGGAACGCTATAGTGTTAGAGGGTCATTTTTTAAAATAAAAATAAAACAAGTCAGAAAAAGAACAGAATGGTGTTAGAGGTAATTTTGTATAATAAATAAAAAGAAAATAAGTAGATAGAATAGAAAAAGAATAGAGAATGCTAGTGTTAGAGGAATAACAGTTAACGGTGTCACTGATTTAAATCTCTTCAGAACATTGCATCGGTTCAAACTGTCTGTTACAATAATTCTATTCAAATTTTCAAAGATTTGTTTACGACACTTTTAGAACTGTTCATGAAGACTTTGTGACATGTTTCAAATGTTACAATATAATTGTTTGAGACTAGTGTTACAATTAGTGTTCCAGTTACAAATGTTACAATTTTAAAATGGTAGAATATTAAGTTGTAAGTAAGTAACCTGTTGATACTCATTATACTCATCTTTGATCTTGATGTCACTTTAACATTTTTAGCTTTGTTCACTCTAGCATTCAAACATTTGGGGCCTGCAAGATTTTTTAAATGAATTTTCTCTCATTAATGTTGCATTTCTTTGATCAAAAATAAATGGTAAAAACTGTAATAATGTGAAATATTTTTTGAATATTTGAATGCATTGTAAAATGCAATTTATTCCTGTGATCAAAGCTGAATTTTCAGCATCATTACTCTTCAGTGTCACATGATCCTTCAGAAATCATTCAAAGAAACATTTTTGATTAGTATCAATGTTGAAAACAATTGTGCTGCTTCATATTTTTGTTCAAACCTTGATACCTTGTTTTTTTTATGCAGGACTGTTTGAATATAAAGTTCAAAAGAA